CTTTAGAAACTATCTACCCTTACTCCACGATGGATAGTGATCATGAACAAGGCCCTTCCAGGAAGAAAATTGCGAAAGAAAGGCTTGAAAAGGGAGGGAATTGGGAGTGTAGCTGGAAGGCGTCTGAGCGCTCACTCGCGGCTAACGCGTGGCCCGTCTTCAACTCGTCGGCGGTTGGAGCATGACCAGGTTTTATACTTTATATGAAAATGTTCCTCTAGAGAATTCTATTGCGAACCCATTGAGACCAAAATGAAAGACCTAGGACAAAAATTGAGGTGACCAGAGTGAAAATAGTGAAAACATTTTATCGCGTTTGTGAGCTCCTGGGTAACTCGTTCGCACTTTCTCTGTTTGCTACGGGTAATTAGCCGGGCTTTTGGAGTTTATATGCATTTAGTGCTGTAGAGAATTCTATTGCGAACACAATGATACCAAATTTAATCTCGTAGGACGAGAATTAAGGTGACAAAGTTGAAGAGAGTATACCCTTTTCAGAATTTACACGCGCTCCCGTGACACCCTGGGTCCCATATCGCACAGTTGAGGGGTGGCGCGCGGGGTGAGCGAAAGTGTTAACAGAAGATTTCTCCCAAAGAGAACCCCTAAGCCCCTCTCATTTGATTCATGGTGGTCTTCTAAGCCCTCTAATATCTCTAGGAGACGAGGATCCAGCTGACCCTTCGTGTGTCAAAGCAAGTGACTTGGTGGAGAGTTATAGACACCTTTCAAGAGTAATAGAGAAATGGAATGAGGTCTGGACATGTGAATATTTAACTGCTTTAAGAGAATATCATTATGGAGCTGCAAGCCCATACATTAAAGTTCAACTTAAACCAGGTGGTCTTGTCCTAGTGGACAGTGATGGACCCAGGTCAGATTGGCCTATAGGTAAAATTGTTGACATCCATCCTGACCACCATGGTGTATTACGAATTGTTAAAGTTCAGTGTCGAGGCACTACTACCTTGAAAACACTAGAAAAATTAGTACCTTTAGAGTTAGCAGAACACGAGTGTTCTACAGATATACCTGTAACCCAAGTTTCAGAGAACAATGATTCTACTCAACCGAGCACAAGACCATCAAGAGTCGCTGCTCAGAACTGCAAACAGAAACTTAAACAATATTTTGATTCTATTCAAGAGTAGATAACTTATCATTAAAACTTGAGGTGACTACGCTGATGCAGTGATGAGTTGATGTCCAGTAATAAGTTACGAGTCATAGTGACCATGGACAGTATCCTCACTGTATTGATGAGGTCTCCTTAATCTTAAATGAACCAATTATTCATAATTTATTTTGTTAATGTCCTTCTGTTTCTTACAAAGGAATTATTCAATAATTTTCAATGTTTATTTACGTCCCCATGTTGACTTAGAGTCATCTACCACAGATTCGGGACATTCGTTAGGTGCGTACTAACCTACTAACCCATGAATATAACTTACGATAGAGAAACAGGTGCACGTTAGTACTAATACCTGAACTACGACCCGAGTTTTCTCTCCCCGGAGTTATGTTGGAAATAACCAACAGTTTTATACATTTTTGTATTTTATACAACCTTTGTATTAACTACAAGTAGTTACTAAAATTACTAACTTGTAGATTTAATCATTATCATGATTTATTTAGACATATTGCCAGATTCTTCCTAGTCAGAGTGACGACGTGAGGAACGACAGGCAGTAACATGAATTCTCTCCACATTTAGTTGGATTTATAACAAGAATCCAGTTTATCATTTCCTTTACTAAAAATAGTTACTTACTAATAAGTTTAATTTCGTAGTATACTACTACTTACTGGAACTCCCTTATTTAGTTGATATCAAACATTCTAGAGGAAATTACTTTGATGTAAATGATTTTACTTTAATTTCCTCGATTGGCTGCACAACTTTAATAAGCCAATTTATGTTACGAGAAATTCAATTTTATCACAGAAGAATTTAATGTGATATTAATACTCGTCACTACCTCTTCCTTCCTTAATCAATTGCGATATATACATATCCATTTACGCTCGAGATGTCTATCGAGAGCCGCGCATGCGCAATAAGGAAGAGGGGGGGAAGATGGGAGAGCGTCACTAGAGACGAGAGAACAAGAGAGCACGACGCGGACGCCATTAAAAGTGTGTAGCAGAGCTACATTTTGATCTCATTTATTTCGCTCCAACGACCAGTAGAGCGGTGCCACGTTATCTGGCACAATAGCCGTGTCCCTGACTAGCATATGAGCAATTCCAAAGTCAACGCCTTTCAAGCAGCAGCTGGAGGACGAGGAATTGCTCAAGTCTCCACATCAATGGACACGCGGCTTGGCAGCTAGGTTTACCTTTTTGTTATTATGTGGCCACAATTAACATTTAGGCTAGTTGTCGTTAGGCCGTAGAACAAATAAGTAAATCCCGTACGTGTCTTTAGTAATTTTACAGTCTGAATAGATGATTATTTTTATTATTTCTCTATAGAAGAAATTTACAGTTTTTGAATATAAATTGCACAGATATTGGTTGAAATTTCCTACAGTTATCCTCGTGACTTAGGATTTATTTGTAGTTACTTACTATGTAGACGATTTCTACAATGTAATTGCCTTCCAGTACCAAGGCGACGCCAACTGAGGTGCTAGACTTCCCACCGTTCCGTGCAACAATTTGCCCTATGCAACACGTCGTCGGTGGAGCGTACCAACTGATTACACCTCACTAGATTTACAGCTAAGCTGTCCCTTTTTTATCTGTAGCAATAACTCTGTAATTACAGTAGTGATTTCTAAAAGAGATCAATTATACTAACCCATTGATTTATTGATACTGTTCAACATTTCAGTAGTATATTGAGGAGCATTTACCTCCAATTAATACTATATAATCAACCTTATTTACTTTCATATTTTATTTACTCTGGTGAAGAACCAGCACCAGAATAATGCTAGGGATGTATTCATCTTTTAGCATGTAACCCCCCAATTTTGTGTAAGTTAATTTGACTCCATTTATATCAGAAATACAGTTTCACTAAGATCCATAGGACACTAGTTCTTGGGATTAGTTTTACCATTGCTTTATTTTGTTTTCTACTTTTTCCTAAAAAGTGGTGGTCCTTCATAGCTATCGAAGTATATATTTAATTATTAGTTATTGGAGTCAGGTTTTCCCCCACACACAGTCAGCTGATGGCTGCCGCCCTCAAGGCTAGACGCACTAATATTTCTCCTCTAACAATGCTGTTTGTGGTGTTATTACGCTATATACACACATTATATATAAATATCTACCTGTTTTATTCACCATACTTGTACAAGTAAACTGGTATGGTTGCCCAAAGACCATCGTGGTAACCAGTAAACAACACCGTCGTCTGCACGGTGGCGTCGTGCAGACGACGCCACCGCCTTCACCAAAATGGCGGCTCCCAACCTACTCCTCTTGCTGTTTATACCCTCTATACACACGTTATATATAAGTATCTACATTTGTGTTCACCATAGCGAACCACTAAGCTGGTATGGTGAGTGCAGTCAATAAAAGGTGGCCACACACAGTCAGAAGACATCGCCACCACCCTCCCTCCCATAGCACTAAATATCACCACAATCCTGCTATTATCAGAACCCTGGTCAGTTTTATCACAGTCATGGGTCTTCTGCAATAATATCATCGCTACATAATAGCATGAACACGTATATTATGACATTTTTAGGCGATGCTGTGGTCACAAGCTGAACAGCAGTGCTGTTAGCTCATGCTACGTGCGTCAGGCTTCGTAGCTCACTCAATACTGAGGCCCCTAACACCTGGGAGTTTGGCCCACGATTTTTTTAAAAAATGGCGTCTGTTTACAAGAGCCCTGATGAAGGTGTGGTGAACCCCGTGTATCTGCGGGCCGTTTAAATCTTGCGTAGTACTCCAACACGTCATATGATGTGATGCGCACTTTTTCGGTAAGTTACTCAACACGTCATATGACGTGTTGTGCAGTTTAAGGGTTAATGTATTGCACGGTTTCGGTTTTCTTACTAAAATCATCTATATATGTATTGTGCGGTTTAAGGGTTAACTGTTTAAATTCCATAAATTACACACAACTGAATAATTTTACTGAAAAAAAAAGAAAAAAAAGAAAAAAAAAAAAATATATAAAACCATTCACAGACACTGAAATAATTAAGTAAAAATGTATTTGGGGCAGCCCCTGCCACACTCTTCTGTCGGCCACTAGGCTCTGACCTTGGATTCTTGTTGTGTATAACATGTGTATATAGTGTAATAACAGCAATAACACTGTTTGATTAATCTTAGAATATGCGTGTCACCATATACGAGCTCCACAATTTTCAGTATAGTGATATGCCACACATTTAACTGTATAAATTCCATATATTACACACTTTTGAATAATAATACACCAAAAAATACGAGAAGAAACGAATGAGAAACATTGAAATAATTATGAAAAATTATTTTTGCAGCAACTGCTGCCCCAAAGGATGGCGGGGACGAGTGTCCCCGAGTGCCTCATCACTCAGCGCACATAAATTGCTCAACTTCTCAACTCCATGCTAGAGTATGTCAGATATAATATTTTATTTTAGTTTCTCGTGATCAGAGACTGCATTTTAACAATATAAGAAGAGAAAATAATTTTTTGGATATAATAAATTTCTAGTGCACCACAGGGGTGTCATATTTTAATGCAGCGCAGTGGTTAATTAAATGTAGATTGTTCATAGGACATTGCTCCCTGCACCTCTCTGAGGGGGGACCAGATTCTGGCTCTGGTCCCTGGTAGGCAACAACAACTATGACTGATGACCCCAAATAGGATAGCACTATATCAGTGGGAGAGCTTCAGGGAGCTCATTTTCCCACAGAAAATATAGTTTTCTTTAGAAACATTTTGATACAAGATGAGAAATCATGTCAAAACTGATTATCCACAACAAAATAGTTAAACAAGTGAAACAACAATAATGAAATTATATTACCTCATGTAAACTGTGGACCACAGTTACAATGTTATAGAAGATAGTAAGAGCATCACGTTCTGCTAGCTTCTTCTTTGTGATAACATAGTGTTGGAGGTTGATTAAATCCGCAGTGTGGGGGCAATAATCGTGCGGTGTAACGCAGTCTAATACTAGACACACACGTCGCACAAGTCCCCCAGTAGCTACAATTGCTCCACTAGTTTGTTCTCGAGCTCCACAAGCATAATCCTGAAATTATTAGGGATTATTTGATAATATAAAATTAAAATGTTACCATTTAAAATACCTTAAACTAATAATAAAATCAGCATTGAATGTAATGAAACACCTCTTTCTGGTAGAGCCTCTGTGGCTCCCTGATGCTAGCTCAATGAGATGGCTCCCTCCTATTAGGTCATCACCAATAGCAGTCCTTTATGGCCTACCGGGGACCAGAGCTAGAACCTGCCTCCCCTCCCTCACAGAGGCATGGGGTATTAAGATCACCTTCATGGAGAAAATATCTAGAAAGTAAGTGAAGTAATACAGATAACTGAAAAGTTCAAAGAAAACAATGCAGCAAAATAGCCAAAGGAGACTAAAAACAATTCACTTGGAACCAAGTCGAAAAACCTGGAACCGGGGATTCCCAAGGCCCTTAGACTGGTATCGCTAAGGGAAAGCCCAGGCAGGGTACTGCGAACCGGTGCCCAAGTCTAGCATTCAAAACTGCTAAAAGCTAAACCCCCAGGATATGTCCACTCATGGGGGGTCTAGCAGGGGTACCACCCAAAAACACAGATATAAATAAACCCCGCAAGAGGACAACGTACCCATGCGGAACATAGCTGGCTGCTATAAGAGATGATAACTAGCTGTGCAGTACCCAGTACCCCTACCAGTGAAAACTACCCTTTATACTAAGGTAAACAAGGGAGGAGGAAATCCCCCCAGCACACTCAGGGCAGTCAGTTACTGAGCAGCAAAAGACCAACAGAGCTAGACCCCAAGGTGACTTGTGGAAGATCACTCCAAGCCCCAAGGGCAGTACCTACATGGCACTTAGGGAAGAGAACCCTAAGCACATGCAGCCCGAGTACCTGAGAAGATTACTCCCAGCTCATGCACAACCCTGAAAACAGCACTAGGACACAAGGTGGCCCGTCTTCAACTCGTCGGCGGTTGGAGCGTGACCAGGTTTTTTATTTTATATGCTAATGTTCCTATAGAAAATTCTATTGCGAACCCATTGAGACCAAAATGAAAGACCTAGGACAAAAATTGAGGTGACCAGAGTGAAAATAGTGAAAACATTTTATCGCGTTTGCGCGCTCCTGGGTAACTCGTTCGCATTTTCTCTGTTTGCTGCGGGTAATTAGCCGGGCTTTTGGAGTTTATGTGCATTTAGCGCTGTAGAGAATTCTATTGCGAACACAATGATACCAAATGTAATCTCGTAGGACGAGAATTAAGGTGACAAAGTTGAAGAGAGTATACACTTTTCAGAATTTACGTGCGCTCCTGTGACACCCTGGGTCCCATATCGCACAGTTGAGGGGTGGCGGGCGGGGTGCGCGAAAGTGTTAAGGATTTGCGCCCAGTAAATCCTCCTCACCCAGGATACGAACCCAGGACAAATTACTCGCGAAATGCCAGGCAAGTGTCTTAACCACTACACCAACTGTACGGCAGAAACAACTATACGGCAGTAAAGAAAGAGGCAGAAAGAAATTTTGAAAAACGGATAGCGGATAAATGTAAAACAGAACCGGGCCTATTCTACAAATTCATAAACAACAAATTGCAGGTAAAGGATAATATCCAGAGGTTGTAAATGGGAAACAGATTCACGGAAAATGAAAAGGAAACATGTGAAACATTAAATGAAAAGTTCCAAAGTGTGTTTGTACAAAATGAAATCTTCAGAGAACCAGACACAATAAGAATTCCAGATGACAACATAGAGCATATAGAGGTGTCTAGAGATGAAGTGGAAAATATGCTCAAGGAGCTAAGTAAGAACAAAGCAGTTGGCCCAGATGGAGTTTCACCATGAGTTCTAAGAGAATGTGCATCTGAGCTCAGCATTCCACTTCACCTGATCTTTCAGGCATCCCTGTTTTACCTAAGTGTTTTTACCTAAGTGTAGTTACAGGATGAGAGCTACGCTCGTGGTGTCCCGTCTTCCCAGCACTCTTTGTCATATAACGCTTTGAAACTACTGACGGTCTTGGCCTCCACCACCTTCTCCCTTAACTTGTTCCAACCGTCTACCACTCTGTTTGCAAAAGTGAATTTTCTTATATTTCTTCAGCATCTGTGTTTAGCTAGTTTATATCTATGACCTCTTGTTCTTAAAGTTCCAGGTCTCAGGAAATCTTCCCTATCGATTTTATCAATTCCTGTTACTATTTTGTATGAAATGATCATAACACCTCTTTTTCTTCTGTCTTCTAGTTTTGGCATATTTAATGCCTCTAACCTCTCTTCGTAGCTCTTGCCCTTCAGTTCTGGGAGCCACTTAGTAGCATGTCTTTGCACCTTTTCCAGTTTGTTGATGTGCTTCTTAAGATATGGGCACCACACAACTGCTGCATATTCTAGCTTTGGCCTAACAAAAGTCGTGAACAATTTCTTTAGTATATCGCCATCCATGTATTTAAAAGCAATTCTGAAGTTAGAAAGCGTGGCATAGGCTCCTCGCAAAATATTCTTTATGTGGTCCTCAGGTGATAGTTTTCTATCTAGAACCACCCCTAGATCTCTTTCTTTATCAGAATTCATTAAAGATTTCTCATATAATATATAGGTTGTGTGCGGTCTATGTTCTCCTATTCCACATTCCATAACATGGCATTTATTAACATTAAATTCCATTTGCCAAGTGGCGCTCCATGTACTTATTTTGTCCAGGTCTTCTTGAAGGGCATGACAATCATCTAAGTTTCTTATCCTTCCTATTATCTTAGCATCATCAGCAAACATGTTCATATAATTCTGTATACCAACTGGTAGATCATTTATGTACACAATAAACATCACTGGTGCAAGAACTGAACCCTGTGGTACTCCACTTGTGACATTCCTCCAGTCCGATACATTGCCTCTGATCACAGCCCTCATTTTTCTATCAGTCAGAAAATTTTTCATCCATGTTAGAAGCGTACCTGTCACTCCTCTAATATTTTCCAGTTTCAAGATAAGAACAACATAAGAACAACCGGTTCCACATAAGAACAACCTCTTATGTGGAACTCTGTCGAAAGCCTTTTTTAGGTCCAGATAGATGCAGTCAACCCAACCATCTCTTTCCTGTAATATCTCTGTTGCTCGATCATAGAAACTGAGTAAATTCGATACACAGGATCTTCCAGATCGAAAACCATACTGTCTGTCTGATATTATATCATTTCTCTCCAGGTGTTCTACCCATTTAGATTTAATTATTTTTTCCAATATTTTGACTATTACACTTGTCAATGATACCGGTCTATAATTAAGGGGATCTTCCCTGCTTCCACTTTTGTAGATTGGAACTATGTTAGCCTTTTTCCACACATCAGCTACAACTCCTGTAAACAGGGATGCCTGAAAAATCAGTTGAAGAGGAATGCTGAGCTCAGGAGCACATTCTCTCAGAACCCATGGTGAAACTCCATCTGGACCAACTGCTTTGTTCTTATTTAGCGCCTTGAGCATTTTTTCCACTTCGTCTCTAGACACCTCTATGTGCTCTATGTTGTTCTCTGGAATTCTTATTGTATCTGGTTCCCTGAAGATTTCATTTTGTACAAACACACTTTGGAACTTCTCGTTTAATGTTTCACACATTTCCTTTTCATTTTCCGTGAATCTATTTCCCATTTTCAACCTCTGAATATTATCCTTTACCTGCAATTTGTTGTTTATGAATTTATAGAATAGACCTGTTTCTGTTTTGCATTTGTCTGCAATCCCTTTTTCAAAATTTCTTTCTGCCTCTCTCCTCACTGCCGTGTAGTTGTTTCTCGCATCTTTGTATCGCTGGTATGTTTGGGGGTTCGGCCTCTTCCTGTATTGATTCCATTTTTGTGTCTTTTGGTCTCTGGCCCTCACGCACTTTCTGTTGAACCAATCCTGATTCCTAGTTCTGCTTCTCTGTTTTGGTATAAATTTGTTTGTGCCTTTATCATATATTTCACAAAACCTGACATACATCTCATTCACTTCCTTGCCTAGCAACAAGTCTGTCCAATTATACTCACTAAAAAAATTTCTAAGGTTGCCATAATGGTGTCTCCTAAAGTCAGGTTTTTCATTTGCATCGACCGTCATATTTTCTTCCAGATTATAACGCATTGCATACTTTATTCCCGAAAAGACATGGTCACTTTTACCCAAGGAAGGAAGGTACTGAATGTCAAATATTTCTTCCTCCTTCCTGGTAAATATCAAATCTAGCATGGAGGGAACGTCGCCTTCCCTCATCCTCGTAGCTTGTTAACATGTTGATACAAGAATGTTTCCAGGATGAGGTCTACAAATTTACAGGTCCAGAAATCTTCTGTTTTAGCTTCACATGCTTCCCAGTCTATGGATTTCAAGTTGAAGTCGCTGACTATCAACAGTCGTGAACTATCGTTATCCGCTCTCGCTATGATCTCTCTCATTATTGTTATAAAACCTTCTCGTTTACTATCTAGCTCCTCCTTTGACCATGTGCTGCTTAGCAGTGGACTATATGCATTTATGATCATTAGTTTATCATCCTCATGGCAGATCTCTAGTGCTATTATGTCAACTTCTTGTGGATTGGCAGTCATTATTTCGTTCACCTTTAGGTGTTCTTTCACCAGCACAGCAACGCCATCGCCTTTCCTGATTTTTCTGTCCCGTCTCCAAATTGAGTAGCCCCTTGGGAATATGACCTCATTTAAAATAGCATATTCAAGTTTTGTCTCCGTGAGTGCAACAATATCTGGTGTCTGCAGCTGTATTATATCACTTAACTCCAGTACCTTTGATCTTACTCCATCTATGTTGGTGTATGCAATCTTGAGGAACTTGTTCCCCCTCTTCTTATTTTTCACTCCCCATTTCTCTAATGATTTTGTTGGTTTGCCTTTATGTACCACTTTACTGGTCTGCCTACCCCTATCACTTTGTAGAAAAAAGAATTGATTTCTTCTTCATTCCTGCTCTTATTTAAACGTTTTGCCTCGGCGAGGTTCAGTTTCAGCTTCTCTCTATCTTCTTTTGAAAGATCCCTG